ATAGCAATAATGTATTACTTGAAGTATTACATATAAATATACTATACTATACTTAGTATACTATACAAAGTATACTATACTTTGTTTTTCATCTTGGCCACTGAGAGTGGACGCTGGCATGCATGTTGCCGCTGCTCTCCGGGCGTATGTGTTTTTTGTTCTGTTTTTTGTTTTGTTTTATGTACAGTGTCCTTGGGTGACTTGAAAGGCGCTTTTAAATAAAATGTATTATTATTATTAAAAATTTGTCGGAAAAAATCCTGCCCATTTTTTATAACGAGGCATTTTATACAGAACTAGCATCTTCAAGGAAAATAAGATTTTTGTGCACGAGAGGTAGCACGGTGTGTGACCGGACTACACCGATAGGAGAGGAGCTTGGTAAACAGAAAAGCAAGATGGCTTCCTGAAGAGTTTCATCTAGCAGTACCAAAGAAGAGGAAAACTAAAAAGCATTCCCGAGAACGCTGCTTTCTATCCCACATGCTACCGGAGGTTTATTGACAAGAGTGCAATTGCAAAAGTGAAAAGGCGTCTCGAGCGTGAGAAAGAGAGGGGAGAGGATACGGAAGACCGCTCAAGAAGTGAGGCCATCCCATCAACATCGGGCAGGATGACACCGAGTCCGACAAAGAAACTTAGATCCAGGTCGGGCCTGCCCATCGCGGTATCTGGCCCCATCCTTCCAGCCCTGTGCATAATATGCAAGAAAAAGGACAACTACATTGTAATGCAGACCTTACAGGAGTGGGCAAAAATCTCAGATTGTACGTAACACATAGGATCAATGTCACTGTGTGACTGTAATGGAGGTTGTACAATCTGTTCATGCTGTTGAAGACCTGCAGTGTGATCATGAAGAATGAATTTTGCATGCACAACATGCTGCACAGGAGCACACAACTGTCATCATCGAGAGCCCTGGCACTGATGTGGTGTATATTATTATTATTATTATCATACCATACAGCTTATATTTTTTCACAGGGATGGGCAACAAGACACACATCATTGACATTACCAAGGTGTCCTCAGCTCTCAGAACCAGTGTGTGTTCAGCCTTGATTGGCATACATACATTCTCTGGGTGTCCCTTTATGGGTAAATGCAAAAAAACCTTAAGAGTACCTCAAGTCTTTTAAAAATCTGGATGCTAACTTTAACTTGGACCAGTCAACATTTGCACTACTTTGCAAATATGTATGCCACCTGTATGATCAGCCAGCTGCTGAAAATGTCAATGAGGCTAGGTACAAGGCTTTCTGTATGGCATCATCAACCTCGCCAGAATTGGCTATTCCCCTCACAAATGATGCTTTCCATCAGCACTGCAAAAAAGGCAAATTATCAGGCTGCAGTCACGAGGTTCTGCGTCAAACAAAATATAGGTGCTCCATCACCTGCTGGATACAGTTGGCACCTAGAAGATGGAAAGCTACATGTCACATGGATGACAATAAATCCGGTCCCTGACAGTGTTTAGCATGTCATACACTGCCACTGCAAGGAGAGTGCCTGTGAGACAGGTAGGTGTTCCTGTGTCTCTGCAGGACTGTTGTACAGACCTGTGTAGGTGTTGCAACTGTGCAAACACAAAGGAAATTGAGGAGGAGGAGGAGGAGGAGGAGGAGTAGGAGGATGACTGCCCTGACACTGACAGTGAAGACTAACATATCATGTGTAGCCTATTGCCTCAGAGTTGTATTGCAGTGGTTGTATTGTTAACATTACCATTCATTTTCTCATACTGTTTTGTATTGTTTTATATGTATATATGTTTTAATAACAATTGTTTTTTATGGTTGATCAGTGTTGTATTTAGTTAGGAGCGAATAAATTAACAAATTAATAAACAAATGGTCCTTGTCATTGATTACTTCCTTTTACTGATCAAAATGACTTAGAGAAAGTTCACCTTATCGTCTATTTGCCTCATTGTTCTTCATCAATTAGCTACTCGATTGGTCTAGCACGATCATGTGTCGAACCGTGCCACCACTCGTGAACCAAAATCTTATTACGCCCTGAAGAAACTAGTTTGTCATAAAATGCCTCACCATAAAGAATGAGCAGGATTTTTTGCAACGAACTTTTTGCTGTAAGTTTAACGTAACTCGTAACTTATGAAGTTAAGATGGTGTACTTCCCAAACGTCGGAGCAAGATTAAACGATAATAGGGTTCACCGTATGGCCTACTAATGTTTCTTGTCTCATTCAAATGCCAGGGTAAAAAATCTGACTTTTGGCATGTACCCAGATTTATTCCTGATTAATTTAGACACTTTAGAAATTGTGTTTCCTTTGGTTTGGTCATCTGGCTTCTTGAATCTGATTTCATGTAGTCAGATGTCTAATACACTAACAGAACTGACAGCAAGTTCTGAAAGTCACAGTGGAATACCTGGGAATCTCGGGGGCTGATGCCTGGTTGCAAGCCATCATTGATAGTGGCAATGATGATGAAACTGTTGCTCCTGGTAATAATGATGATGATGATGATGATGATGATGATGTAGCACTTCTATTTTTCCTGTGCCAAAGTGAATTATGGATTTAACTACATTGTTGTGTGTGGAGGACAGACCTGATTTAATAAATAGTGTTTATTGATGTAGTCAGTCTGAAAAAGTCTGATGTCTATTATGTCTGATGTGATCAAATATGATTCACCTGCATTCACAACATGGTAGATAGACAAAGATAAAGAGAGTGAAAAAAGAGGGGGAGGGGAGAGAATATTTTACATTAATGTCTCTGTTTGTCTCTGTCCAGACGTCAATGTCTGACTCTTTTGCCTGGTTGTGCTGCAGAAATTTAATGAGAGAAAAACAGATGTGTGTGCGTGTGTTTGAATGTGTTTTAGGTAGGATGGGTTTTATCATTTTATCTCTATGAACTTTCAAACTGAAAAAGCAAAAACTCCATCTTGGCCACATTAAAGAAAAACATTTGTGGTTGTAAAATGTTTTTTGCTAAGCTGCATTTACAGATCAGAATATTGTGTTCAAGTACAGACAGCACTGAGTGGACCTGAAAAATGGAATTCAAAACAGGACTTCATGGATGTGTAACTATACTGCCATTCCTGAATAGTCTATTTTAACAATCTTTTTATTACGTGTAAGAGGTCTATGGACTTCATTGAGCCTGTACTGAATATAAGTATGGGAAAGAAAACACAATTACAAAAACAGAATCTAAATATCAGATGAGATTCTGTTTTTGTAATTGTAATTTATGTCTACACCTTGTGGAGATGATTTTGGGAGAAATTTCTGCTTGTCATGATGAGGGATTTATCTGTTAACTCTATTTGGTGGACATTATTCTAAGAGACGATAAAAAAAACCAACAAAACTATACCAAAATAAACCAAATGATGGAAATAAATGCCCTGTACAACAATGACAATGACTGTTAATAAATTTAGCAATAAAGGAAACAGATAGGAAGCTATACAAACATTTTCATAATCTATCCTTTTTGTTGTTGCTCTGAGATTGTTTTTTGCAGTTCTTATTTAAGTTCAAAAAGTAAATAGAAAGGGTATTTAACCCTAATTCAAATGCAAATGAGGGTGGAGGATTTCTTTTTTAAAGAGCATGAGCATTTGGGAAAGGAAAAAAAACTGCTGCTGCTTTTCTTTAAGACCCACAGAGAGAGACAGGTTGAGACACTACTGCTGTTTTCCTTTAAAAATTAAAAGAGACAGAGAGAAGACGAGCTGAGAAGCAAACAGCAGCGCTTTTACATGCAGAGGCCGTACCACACTGACCCACAGCCATGGAAACAGTGAGGAAGAGCAGGCCCTTTATAAAACACACAAACACAAAACACAACTACACACACCAGCAGACAGGAAGTCAGAGTGCA